TACTTATTGCCTAAATGTTGTCAATGAGGAAGTCCAGCATTACAGATATTGTTTTCTCAGTAAACTTAGATGGCATTTGCTTTCATTTTTCACAAATTGCCCTGAACCTCTGAATATAGATACGTAACTGTATCTGTGTTCACCACGTTTTGTAACAAAAGCACCGTGGATCAAGGAATAGAGATTTCATTTAAGTCAGTGGGAAAGTTGTGTACAAACTTCAAAATGTTTTGACAGAATGGAACTTGGTTCTTTTCTGAGATTGCAAAAAGTCAAACAAATCGTTTGAGTTTTTGAGGATCCACATGGTATTAATTCCACTTGTTTCAAAAGCTTTCTGTGAATTTAAAGAAAGTCCTTCCTTGACAGTATCAAGGATTATGGTTAGTCTTTGAGACAGGTTGGTTGGTTTGTTGGTTTGTTGTGTAACGACACGCTCAGCAATATTCTGGACCAGACAATCCAGTGAATAATATCATGAGCATCGATCCACGCAATCGATGACATGCATCAACCAAGTCAGCGAGCCTGACCACCCGATCCCGTTAGTCGCCTCTTACGACAAGCATAGTCGCCTTGGGTTGCTTAAGACCTATTCTACCCCGGATCTTCACGGATCCTTTGAGACAGGGATTTGGTGGTACATTTGCTGGATACAGCGATATATCTCTCTGTACGGATTTGTATGGAGCTTTGGAATGGACAACAGGAATGGACATCTCTTCAGGTTTTCGAGTCAAGTCAAAAGTTGACAGTACTGATTTATGGTTTTAGCAGATTTCTTCCTCAGTTAAGATACTGGCCTGATATGTGGCATTATTTGATAAGCTATTTATACCTAGTTCTTTGATCAAACAAATTTTCATGTAGGGCAGGCAGACATTGGATGGCAGCTGGCTGAGGCAGAATGGGTTTATTCCAATTCCGTTTCCTCTTTTTAGGTTTGTGCATTCTACCAATGACAACATCAACTTCACTGACCTAACCCACTCTGAAAGACATTCAACAGGTTCCTCTTCTATTTTGGTCCTTTTTTGGCATATTCAGAACCATAATGATTTTGAAGTTGTGATCCCAATTGGAGGGAGGTTGCTCACGGTTTTTTGGTCCATATTTGAATAACTGTTGTTATTGTCAACAATAGAGCAGTCACCTGTGATTATATGACCTGCAGGTTGACAGCAGTATGATGAGTCTTGGCAGCCACAAGTAGTGGAATTTACATCATGAGCTGCCAAGTCCACGTTCTGCAACATGTTCCTATAATTGAACAACCTGGATGAAATTGAGTTCGTAAAGGAACATGGAATTGTTGGTGGTTCTTGAAATTTGAAGTCATCCCTCTTGCCACGCAGTCGTGGAGGGTTGTTTGTCACTTGATTCTTTATGCACAGATCTAAATAGATGAGGCGGTTGCACTGGTCTCTTTCATTTCTAGTTCATTTGGGTAAATCAGTGGAAAGGTAAGGTGGGGTGAAATGGGGTTTAACATCGCGTCCAAGATTATTGTACGTGTGTGTGTATTTGTGTGGCTGCTTATACTAGTCCGGACTGATGCCGATTTATAGTGCTAGCTCACTGAGATACCATGCCGCAGTTTAACATGAATACCCCACTCAGACACAGTATACTGACTCCGAGCCGACCAGTCCTTGTTTTAGCCCCTTTATGCCGAGCGCCAGACAGGGTAACAACAAGTACCAGCTTTTAACGTCTTTTGGTATGACGCGGCTTGGGATCGAATCCCGGACCTTCCGCTCTCCGGGCGGACGCTCTACCACTAGACCACGGAGGCGGTATCAGTGGAAGGGACTTGGTTATTTGACCATTATTGAATGATACCATATCAAACCTGGGCCCCGTTCCACAAAGCGATCGTAGCGCTAAGATGATCGTAACTCCTATACTTTAACATAAGTTTACGACAGTCGTGGTGCTACGTTCGCATTGTGGAACGGGTCCCTGAAACTTAAGTTTCTTAAACTTCTTGGCAAAATTTACTTAATTTGATTTTGCAAATCCGGGCAGAAATTCCGATTCATATGCATAACGAAACTGATCGGCAAGAACCCTGACATAGGTTAGTCATCAACATTTCGCAGTCCACAATAACACGTGGCGACATTGACTGACTGAACACACATCACACACGCGTCTCGCAAGGTAATTTGTCATGCAGTTGAAAATATTTGTGAAGAGTTTAGTCAGTACATAACCAACATTATTTGAGTGACTGTCACCAACTGAGGTGGGTTGACTGGTGTCTCCTTATTGTGCCGCTGTGCCTCATGTTTAGCATAGGCAGTTACACAAAAGCAGGCATGCACCTTCACACAACAGTGTTCCACAGAACTATCATATCACATTTAACTACTAGCTTATATAATGAACAATGCCATTTGATAATGTCAATATGTGTGTTCTTCAGAATCATATCATATATTCTGACCACTGCCAAACTACTTCAGCGATTTCCCAAAACTGGGCACACAAGAGAACGACCACGAAGCTCAACAGCTTCCTTACGATGACGTTATCGATGTTGTCAAACGTCACAAGGTATGGCCTTGGCCCGTCAACATAGGCAACATATACGTCAGTGGTCTCGAACAATGCGACGTTGGCAGCGACGTTGTTGGACATGGTTACTGTTTAGCGACGAGAGCAGGTTCAACTTGTTCCATAGTGATGGGCGGAGGTGATGGTGTGGATGAAGAGCTGGACGATTTTTTCGAGAATGCATCCAAGAGGTTCGCCTTCTTGGAGGCGGATGCTTGATGGTGTTGGGCGGGATTTGAGGTGAAAGGAAGACACGTCATATCATCCCAACCTGACAGGATTGTTATTCTGCAACTAAACGTTCTTCCCTCACTCAGAAGACAGCCAAACGAGATAATGTTCTAACAGGACAATGCCAGGACCTACTATGCTCGAATAATCCAGTTCTCGTGTTGCCCTGGGTGATCTTATCGATAGAACATATCTGGGATCATCTTGGGCGACAGATAAGACAACGTCCAAACCTTCAGAACAACGTACAGCAGCTGGAACGTGCGATATTAGAGTAGTTGGACCGCCTGTCCAATGACGTCTTCGGAGGGTTACGTCATCGATGAGACGTTGTGACCAGACCTCTATGGGACGCATGAGGTCACACAAGATATGGCGGCCTGTATTTAAACCAGTGATTGATATTATGAGCAACGATCCACAACGTCAGGGTACGATGACGTGAAGTCCCCGATTAAGTCCCTTACGACGACCAGCATGGTTATGTTCCTGGGGACCAATTCAAACAAAGAATACCCATGATGAACAGTACAATCAAACTGTCAAAAGTAGGCAAACAAAGGTTTTAGTTCATTATTATACGTGTTTTTACGCCATAGGTTGACTCATTCTCAAGGAACATACTACATTTCCTAGGAAAGATTCATACGATCTGGCCCATTCATGTTTTATCTATTCTTCAGAAGGTCTGCCCAGGCAAATGGCTATACATTATCCATTACTGGTGTCAGTGCAACACGTCAACAGTGAAGATATATATTTAACACTGCATCAGTACACAACTGTGCAGAAACCATTGTGAACTGTTAACCGAGCCCACTCCGTACATTAGAATACATTTTATCAATTCACCCCATGACATTAACGTTTGACTTGATGCACTATAAATGATTGAACTTGAAAAAGAATATCAAATAAAATTTGTACATTTTCTCGTTTTCATTTCATGTGCAGTCGAGGTCGACGTGTACTTTCATTTGATCAGTGGTCTGTCCACTGGATTATTTACAAAACGCCGTCCGTATCGTAAATATACCCTTCTAGCCTTCACTGTATGTACAAAATAATAGAACACAATTTTAAGTGAAGCATAGCGAGCGTCTTCGTACACTGTAATATGTTTCAAATGGATACACATCGTCCTCGGTCAAGATTGTTGTTTTCGGGTACAAAAAGACAGGTTATGGCCTCACTTAAAGCCTTTTTTGTATACTTTATGTTATGCTGCCTAGATATGCATATCAACATATGTATGGAAAAAAAGTATGTTATTGATCACAGTCCAGTCCATAGCGTCGTCATACTTGTTAAAGGTACACACGTGTTCCATATGATTATGGAATGTTTCTTGTATAGGGATAATTCTTACTTTCATATTTCCACAGTGATACTTTGTTTTTTACATTCCTGTTACTGGATGCCAGAGTTGATAAAATGAATGACATTATAATACAGTTGTCTTCAGTTAACATGCCCTGATGGATATGTACAGGTAGGAAAACGGTTTGAACGTCAGCACCAAAGATCTATGATATGCAATATTCCAGCTGTATGACCGCAGCCTGTATTTAATCTAGTGATTGATATTATGAGCAACGATTCACAACGTCAGGGTACAATGACGTGAAATCCCCGTGCCTGATCACCTGTAAGTGATCGATTAAGGTCCCTATTACGACCAGCATGGTTATGTTGCTGGGGACCAATTCAAACAAAGAATACCCATAAAGTAGTGTCAGCAATTGTCAGATAAACAGCGCAATCAAACTGTCAAAAGTAGGCAAACAAAGGGTTTAGTACATTATTATTCGTGTTCTTACGCAATATGTTGACTCATTCTCAAGGAATATACTACATTTCCTAGGAAGGATTCGTACGACTTGCCCTTTCATGCTTAAACTATTTTTCAGAAGGTATGCCGCTGCAAATAACTTTTCATTACCCATAAATGGTGTCAGTTACACACGACAACAATGAAGACATATTTCACACTGCATCAGTACACACCAATGCAGAAACTTGTGTATACTGCCATGTAACCGGGTCCATTCCGCTTGGATGACTAACTGTGTGAAGGCCAGTCGGGAAGAGAAGAACAGCCATGACCTACATGTATGAGGCGATCATGGACACTGTGTTACATTTACCTATGGAGTCTTTAGCGCAATAGGTGTAGTGGCATTGGAAAGAGAGTGAAAAAATAAAACGTGTTGGTGTATAAAACAATTTATTCGTAGCCATGTTGATGATTATCACATATATATATATGAATATGAAAAAAGTCATATATATTATATTGTTAGTTACATTTCTGCTCGACCTTGTATCATGTTCTGTAATTACAGAGGACATGATCGAACAATATAAATATACAGTAAACTACGGTTATAACGAACTCAAAGGGACTACTATTTTTAGTTCGTTATAACCGTAGTTCGTTATAACCGTAGTTTACTGTATGTGCAAACCCACCACCCAAAAATAGGTATGTCAGCTCTCAGGCCGGTTTTACAATAGGGTTGGATTTATGTTTGATCTATGACAGCATTAAACGATATCTTCCCCATAATATTATTTTTTTTAAAACTAATATGATCAGTTTATAAATAGATATATATAAAAAATACAGTTTTAGAATCAAAAGAAATTAAAATTTAAATAGAAGCATGTCTATTTACAATTATACCACTCAAATGAAGTTACAGAACACCAAATTTTGTTCATGTGACTAGAGTTAATCTGTCATGGCTGGTGGGTATTGTAACAGCCTTCCAATTGTGGGTGATCCTTAACTTGTTTTGAGTAGTAAAAAGTACCTCCCAGTCAGGCCACATTACAAGCGGGAAGGTAGTTCCATGAAATCCCACGGATATTCATTAACGTCAGTGTTGTAACTTATGAATACAGTGAATTTAGTGTAAAGACCACCCCCTTAATATGTGTATTTTCCACTAACATCAGGGGCGATCGGGTAGCCTAGTGGCTCAAGCGTACGCTCGGCACGCAGAAGACCCGGTTTCGATTCCCGACACGGGTAAAATGTGTGAAGCCCATTGCTGGTGTCCCCGGCCGTAATATTGCTGGAATGTTGCTAAAAACGGCGTAAAACCATACTCACTCACTCACTTCACTAACATCATTTCTCTCTTTGGCCGTGTACCTTCTGTGCCCACCCTCGCTTTTTCCCATTTAAATCACCCCTTCCAATATATAACCGGTTCCTCATGCTGCCATGTCTGTGCTGCCCTCTTATTATTTAGGTAAAGTAGATGACGTAAGACCGGAAACATTGTCCCGTAAAGTGAAATATGGCGAAATGTAAAAAATGTAAAGATGTGTTGATCCGAAATAAATTACAAACACACAACCAATTAACAACACCAAGTTAACACACAACAACAAAATAATAACATCGAACTAACACAGAATATGATATGTACCACAGCAAATATATGAAGGGGTGAATGTAAAAACTATGAAAAAAGGCAACACAACCAGGGAAAACTATCAAACAAGGAATACATGTCATAACTAAATGCAGTTTTACAAGTAAATAAAAAACCCATAACCAACAGAATATTTTGATTATCGAACTCGCACGCTTCCAAAAATTAGTAATTGTAAGTACAATCGTTCCGGTAAGCGTCATCTAAAATCGTTACTGATTCTATAATCCAGACTGTTGTATTTTTAAGTTTTCTTCTGGAGCCGCGAAAAAACCCGTCTTCTAACATTTTCAGAACACGTAGAAGCATACGGAGACTTTTTTTATGAAATCAATTTTAAAAACAACTAGTATTCCAATCGAAATTTGAGCGTTATATAATTTTGTAATAATTTGTGCGTTATTGAAAGTATGATAATGAAAGTATACATAAGTGAAATATGTTAACAAAATAAAAATCACTGTTATTGACATAGTGACATATTGATATGTAACATGTAAATATGTATGCACGTACTGTACATCAACTTCATAATGCAATATTGCCACGGAGTGAATATGCAATAAAGACTCTGCATTTTCATGATATGATATGATTTGCGATCAAGAAATATTAAAGAAAATGTATATGAAAACACTTTAGTGTGTGTGTGTGTGTGTGTGTAGTGTGTAGTGTGTAGTGTGTGTGTGTGTGTGTGTGTGTGTGTGTAGTGTGAATTTTGGAATGTGTGTGTGAGTGAGTGCGTACGTGCTCGTAACCCCTGGAAAGTGGGATGCCACATTTATAGGACTTCTCTGTACAATAAAGAAGCCATATCACACACATTATGTAATACAACGCTTATAATAGACTTATTGATGTAAATGACTTAGAGGATGGGTTTAAACAGAAGGTATTGATTATAAGTCATTAATGCAATGATTCAGGGGTTTAATTAAGTAAATGAGAAAAAATGCTTCAAGAGAACAATTCGTAAGCACCGGTGAAAGATCTCCAAACAACATCAGTTCCACAACCCAAACAACAATTAGACGACGACGCTCTCTCCGAATTTGCCCCATAAGAACTTCATGATGTCCAACACAACCATCTCATTCGTGTTGTACTCCAGCATTCTCAGCGCAAACACTCCATCCGTGGCAAGGTAATCTCGCGTGAACTTACCCTCAGCATGAGATTTCTGCAACTTACGATCAATGCTGCATAGGTATTTGTGTACATAGGAGATCCGCTTTGATGGGAGGATGACGTTTTTGAGCCACATGATGTAGCTGTAGACGCCGAAGAAAATCATGATGACAAACCAGAACCACAGAAACGCAAAGATCTTTTCGTTGAACAGATTGATGGACAGCACGCACTGTACCGTATAGCGTTGAATGTTTTGCATTTGACGAATTTCGAAGTCGCACAATGTCACCCTGGGGAATCTTGGCGATTCCCGTAGTTCCTTGTTCGTCAACAGGTGATCGATCACCTCCGCTCCATACACCCAATAATCCATCGCAAGGAACTTGTTCAGTAAGAACAACATACCAACGGAAACAAGCATGTAGCAGATCTTGATTCCAAGGTAGAGTCCAGCTAAGTATGTCCCGGTTCGCCTTCCAAGACAGAAACAGCAGCATGCGGAGAGTTTTTCAATGATGACATGCAGGATGCCGTAGGTTGCCCTCTTTGATGCCCTCAACCAGCGATCTATGACATGTCCTACAACTTCGATATGATGTTCACGTTCAGATCCAAATTGGCAGTCATCGCAGAGGGCGATCATCTTCTCAAGGTTCACACCGCTCTTCGTGTTCAGCATCTTCCAGAAGAGGTTCGGGGCCTTGAAACACAGAGCCAAGAAGAGCAAGATGATTGGAACCCATTGGTAATATTTGATTTCCTTCTCCTCCCGTTGATGTATGTCTGTGGGTACGTAGTCGGTCTGGGGGATGTAGTAGGTGTCTTTTATCCAGCAGATGGCCTCGGTGTAGTTACAGTGGGAGTCAGTGAACTCTGCAGGACACCAACAATGGATTGGGTCGCCCACGTATTCGGTCACGCCGACAACAATGGCCATGATGGCCAAAATCAGTACCGTCCATCTGTGGTGAAGGCGGTCGGAGATGTCGTCGTCGGAATGAGGAGGAAATAGCCGTAACGGAAGGTCGGCTCCAACCACGTATCTGGAAAGAGAAAAATATTATATTGGTTTTAAAGTGCATGTCCAATGAACAATGAAAATGTGTATTAGAATAAATACATCATTGGACTTAAACACATGACAAACTTATATGTCAGATATATCAAATTAAATCTTGCTCCTGGAGCAAATCCTACTTTAAATATACCGGATACCTTGGACCGACTGTGCAGTAGCCCAGACTTGACTTGCGTTGTCAGCAGAACAGGTCTGAATAACCTGTTACGCAGACACCTGGTGTCATTGTTGGAAGTTAAAAGAGCTCAGCATGTCAGTCAACTTTAGAAAATGTATTTATGATTCTGTTTGTACTTTGCAAGTATTTATATTGTGAGGAGTTGTATACAGTAGATGAAATTCTCAGGTTGTTCTGATGACCACGATGGTGCTGATTCGTAGGATGGATTTGTGAATTTGATGCTTCCATTTTGTTTTGACTTGTCTATGTTATGTGGCTGAGGTGAAGTGAAATGGGGTCCCATTGATGGATATGTACTCATACAATCATGCAATCACACGTGTGTGTGTCTGCTTGTACGAGTGCGGACTTATGCCGGTTGTAACCCACTGAGATACTATTTCACAGTTTAACATGGATACTCCACTCAGACGCATTACACTGACTCCAAGCCGACCAGTCCTTGTTTTATCCCCTTAATGCCGAGAGCCAGGCAGGGTAACAACAAATACCATTATATAACCTCTTTTGGCATGACGCGCTAGGGGATCGAACCACTGAACTTTCGATCTCCGGGCAAGCGCTCTATCCGCTACGCCACGAAGGCGGTGTCTTCACAATCTTACACACAATATCACAAACTTACAAGTCAGATGTATCTACCCGGACAACACCCGGACGGGACTTGTACTGCCAGTAGGACAGGGCTTGATAACCCGTTACACGGACACCCGGTGTTTGGAATAACTCATCAGTATCGTGAGTGGGGGCGGTCGGGTAGCCTAGTGGTTAAAGCGTTCGTTCGTCACGCAGAAGACCCGGGTTCGATTCCCGACATGGGTACAATGCGTGAAGCCCATTTCTGGTGTCCCCCGCCGTGATATTGCTGGAAGATTTCTAAAAGCGGCGTAAAACCATACTCACTCACTCACTCACTATCGTGAATGAATGCGCTAGGTCATCTTTTGCACGATTTGTTCACATATTCCTTGGATTCTGTTTGAGATTCTGTTGACATCTTTATTACGTGCAGAGTTAAGTTACAGCCACTCCTAGCTTGTTGACATGAAAGACCTTGAGTATTGGGCTGACTCACAGGTTGTCAAACGCTGTATGGGGTTTTTGCTTTCAGTTTTGACTTGTTTATTTTTATGGGCCATAGTTTAGTACGCCATGTACTGCATATAATACACTGTCTTTATATGATGTTTGAGAACACATAGGAACGGTCATGACGGTTGACATAATGTAGCTCTTCATTAAAGAAACATTCTGTAATAGTACCAATACCTATTTCTTTGCACGTATCACCTGCTACACTGACATTGCATTAAAGTTGACTGACGTTGTCCCGGGAGAGGAGCTGATGAGTCATTGATCTGGTCTAAATTTAGTATAGATCAATGATGAGCCACAGTTAAGGTTTTTGGCGACTTTCACTGGTGATACAGAGAACAGACTACGTCATCCCAGGGCCAAACATGCCGCTTCTGTATGTCAAACTCTTAGTAGAGAGGACTGCCTCCGTGGTCTAGTGGTAGAGCATCCGCCCGGAGAGCGGAAGGTCCGGGGTTCGATCCCCGGCCGCGTCATACGAAAAGACGTTAAAAGATGGTACTTGTTGTTACCCTGTCTGGCGCTCGGCATTAAAGGGCAAAAACAAGGACTGGTCGGCTCGGAGTCAGTATACTCTGTCTGAGTGGGGTATTCATGTTAAACTGCGGAATGGTATCTCAGTGAGCTAGCACTATAAATCGGCATCAGTCCGGACTAGTACAAGCAGCCACACAAACACACACACGTACATGCACGTCGCTATATAAGTGCAATAATCTTGGACGCGACGTTAAACCCCATTTCACCTCACCTCACCTTAGTAGAGAGACCCTAACTGCCTGCGTATAGTGTGACGAAACACACTTGTTAACGGGCCGTACTCACCGAAAAGGAAACGGCTTATGGCCAAAACCAAATAGTTACCTTATCTGATTCCTTTATTTTATTAAGTACAGTAAAGTTTGTTATAGTAGCCTGTTTGGTATTGATTCTTAAACACATGCTTATGATGTGGTCAGAATCGTACATGGAATTTTTATGATTATGGAAAGTTTTTTTATGCTTTGTAATTAGAATGCTATTTCCCGCATATAAAAGGTGGCTGCTAAAACAATAATTTTATTGCAAAGTATTTGATATCATAATTTCGACGGGGCTAGCATAGCAGCATATTTAGTCGCACACAAAAAAGTGTAGAAACTGTACCATTTGATCATGTATCCTTTCTTTAGGTAAGAATTATCTCAAACATTGGGATGGGTGATCAACTTTGAGGGAGTGAATGAGTGAAGTTTTACGCCGCAATAAGCAATATATTAACTTTAAAGAGAGGTTCATGTATACATGTACAAAGATACGTTGAAGTTGTTTACCGCTGTTTCACATAATAGAAGCCACGAGACTATTCAAGTAAAGTATAAAATTCACAATGACGCTTGTTTACGATACTATATATAGGTGTGCTCAAGGAGGGTCAGTGTTGTGGCACAATGCATACATATATGACCATTTTATTTTTCACTTTTTTTCACCCTTGTACAACCAAGGTCGGTTGATCGGCTTGGCGTTACTCCAAATCTGACGTATGTTTTTTAATAGATTTTTATCCTGGCATATCCTGTATGAATTACCTCGAATTCTCGGGAACACGCGGTGTCATCACTGAACTTCCGTGATCCATTCCTATAATTGTCACCACTATGTTTGCCTCTTACGCCAAGTGGAATCGGTTTCGGCGTACAATCGAGACTGGTTATTCTCTGGCGTTGACGTTTTATATTTCACCACGTTATACTAGAACACGTTTTCAGGTTATTCGTAATTTCGTCTTACCTTCACTGCTAAGCGTTTTGAATAATCTCTCCATAAAATATGCAACGTGTTTTTAACTTAGAATCTACCTCATTTTGATTATAAAAATAAGCGTTCCAGCATAAACAACACAGATGACGTGGTGTATCACGGAAACCTTGTATAAGCATAACGTAAAGCTAGAGTACCCCTTTAACTGTTTCCTGGAGACGAACCCGTCTAAAGTGGATGTCCACGGTTATATGTCTCGTGCTGTCTGGCAAAACGGTGTCTGGACTAACGAGGTTCCATTATAACATGGGGACTACATTACTGGAACACGCTTTTATGAACAATAACGAGTCATTGTATGAACTTTTTTATTCATAAAGTTATACAAAACCTAAATATAAAAGATTATCCATGAAACAAAAGTAAATCTAAAGATATCCAAAACGACAACTTGCTACCTCTCATCGACTCGCTATCCCAATACAAATACGGGGACCACAAAGTAGTAGTATTTAAAAAAAAGAAAATGGTCATGTGTGAGGTAATGGAATGTAGTACATTAGAAAACAGTGAAGGAATTCGTTTTCACGCTACTTCGAACAGTATTTCAGTTATATCACGTCGAAATTCTACAGGCATAAGATGTTTACCAATTTGGTAAAATTTGAGAGCATGGATATGGCGCTGATAAACCAAAGAATATAATCAGGGCGAATCTGGGATTTGAACCCATGCTCATAGATTCCTGGCATGCCAAAGGGACGCAACTTTGCACCGCGAAATGCCGTGCCTTAAATATCAAACAGACGAATATGATATCACATTCTTTAAAACAACAGCAATATTGAAATATGCCTCATGCAATCCTTAGAATATCACAGTCATAATATGTTGATGACGTCGGATCATGCGATGGCCAATTAACTGAACCTTTTTCTGGGGAGTAGACGGTATAACATACAGGGAGACCTCATGACAGTGACGTCAACATCAACAACTAGAGCATCGTCATCACAAGGAATGTAGTGTGAAACTTATATATAGATCCCAAACGGTTGACGCATTACCTGAAACGTTATCATGCATAGAACGATTGTATGAGGAGGCACGCCTTGCCACCTTGTATCGGTTTTCATTTGAACAGGAATTAACGAATTTACAGGGATGTGCTCCACAGTCTGGATCCCATTTTCAACCAATGCCTTGACGTTGTAATAAGTGTCAAGTGGGAATGTTGGCATATTCTATAGGTAACCGACATCACAATTAACTGCTAGAGTGATATCCCATAATCAAATTGGTCATGGCAGATAACTATTTTGGTGTTTGACTGATTTGAATCAAACATGTTACGTCAATTTGCCCTGGCCTGGCCCCAGAATATGGGAAGTCCCACTGTATGGCAGCATTCAGATATTTGATGCATGACATCAAAATACGTCGCTAGTGTTAAAATGGGAAGTGCCAATGGGATGAGCGTGGAATGTTTGGTTAAACTACTATTAGATATGAAAATAAAACTTTGATAGAAAACCTCTTAACGGAAGCAACATGGGCGGCTACGTAAAGTTAAGATAAACAAGAACATAACATAACATAACATAAACACAACATAAACTAATTCAATGTGAATTAACATTCACAACAAACTACCATTGGCCATGAACTGGCATCCTGATGAGTTATTCATTATATATCGAGTAATATTATTTGTTATCGATGAACTGTCCTGAACTTAACTACTTCTATCATGAACCTATCTCTGTCATGGACTGATCCGTCATGAAACATGTCTGCACGTACGTTTTGTCACGGTTCCTGAAATGTTCCAACCAGCATGTATATTTGGAACAATGTCTCCATACATCTATAACATATCGATAATTGTATTAATATTGCTACGCCTCGATTGATCTCTTATATTTGTTCCAGAGACACTTCATGAGTTCCATAACAACCACTACACTTGTATTATATTCAATCATCCTGAGGGCAAATACACCGTCCGTTGAGAGATAATCACGGGTAAATTTTTCCACGACTTTCAAATTCTTCCCCTTAAGAAGATCTTTATCGATATAGCTCAGATATTCATTCACAAAGTCACGCCTCATTGACGGGATGATGATCCTCTTGAGCCACATGATGTAGCTGTAGAGGCCTAGCATCATCATCAGCACAAACCAGAACCACAAAAAGGCAAATATCTTTTCATTGTACAAGTTCACAGAAAGCACGCATTGTACGGTGTACCGTTGAATATTTTGCATTTGTCGAATATCGAACTCGCACAATATCACTGTGGGAAATCGCGGTGATTCAGGGAGTTCTCTGTTAGCCACAATGTTTTCTAAAACTTCATATCCGTAAAATGTATATTTGATGGCAAGAAATTTGTTCAATAATAATATCATGCTGATAGACACTGCCAGATAGCAGATCTTAACACCCAGATACAGGCCTGCTAAGTATGTCCCAGTCCGTTTCCCAAGACAAAAACAAAAGCAAGCAGATGTCTTTTCAATGACAGCATGAACTGTTCCGTAAGTTGCTCTTTTTGAATTCGTCAACCACCGATCTAAGAAGTCTCCAACTTCTTCAATCGCGCGTTCCCTTTCCTTGCCAATCTGGCAATCATTGCAATGGCTGATCATCTTATAAAGGTTCACTCCGCTCGCCGTCTTCAACATTTTCCAAATGGTATTTGGAGCTTTGTAGCTGAGGGCCAGAAAGAGTAGAATCACGGGCACCCATGGGTAGTACTTGATTTTAGCGTTTTTATTGCCATCCTCTGTGGGGAGACTTTCATCAATGGGTACGAAGTATGTCTCTTGGATCCAGCACAGAGCCTCGGTGTAGTTACAGTGAGAATCGGAGAACTGAGCGGGGCACCAACAATGGATTGGATCGCCAACATATCCCTGATACATGACCAACCCAGACAACAATGCCAGCAACATCACCGTCCATCTGTGGTGGAGACGATCGGCGATGTCGTCGTCGGAGTTTGGAGGTGTTACACGGATAGAAGGGGGGTCGATGTTACCAAACCTAATAATAATCAAAATAGAAGATTCATCATGCATTCTATTCTATGTCAATACTGGTTACAGCCAGGTGTACTATTACTGATGCAAGGAAATGAATAACATTGTTGCTTTTGTGTTTTCACCAACTTGGGCATTTTTCGAGTGCAGAGGCCAATCCGGAAAAAAACGTTCGCTAAATCTCCAACATTGCCATCGTCAACAGATGACTGTTAGTGATTTGTCTATCATGTTCAATACTCACTGTCGATATTTTCTAGACCCGTTCAAATTTTGTGATAGTACACAAAATGTAAAATATAAAATAGCATTAATTTTCTTAAGCGGGTTATTCTATGCTCAGCATCACTATTCATCTTTTCAGATGTTACCATTCTCTCCCTCTATCTGTTTGTTTGTTTGTTGTTAGACGCCGCACTCAGCAACATTCCAGCTATATAACGGCGGTCTGTAAATAATCGAGTCTGGACTAGACAATCCAGTGATTAATATCATGACCATCGATCCACGCAATTGGGATCGATAACATGCATCAACCAAGTCAGCGAGCCTGACTACCCGATACCAGTAATCTCATAGTCGGTCTTTCTGCAGAAAATGGCAAAATGTTGTCACTTACTAAACCATACTATTCGCTTGTTTTTTAGGAAAACAATTTCTCTATCAGGACACTTACAGTAGGAAATATTAAATAAAAACATATTTGTGTTGATTCTGTTTCTCATTTTCGATGTTATTAGTTCAAAGTATGTTTTGCTTTAAACACAATTTTTAATTAAAAAAACCACTTGAGACATCTGTACAGAGTAACATTTGTGACGTCAGAAAATATACAGCTTTATGTTTTTGTGATTTACTACTAGAATGCCAATTAAACAGTTACTTCTGAAGTATTCACTTTGGTGTGCCTTGGTATTGACTATATAACCAAGCTCTATATTAGCAAACTTTAAATATCCAGACTGCAATTTACATAAGAACTAATTCTGCCATTAAAACTAGTTAAGATTTATGTGGTAATTATGTTCTGCACATGTTGTTTATGAATTAATATCGTGCAAACTTCGCTGTTGAGTATTTCCTTTTATAAACGTTAATTAACATTAACTTTCTACAAATCTGCCATGATCAAATCTTTTCGGGTAGAAAATAAACAACACGCCGAATATGACGCGATAATTTAAGCACAACTCATTCACACATTCACCCGAAATCTAAATACTTTTATGTGTGTGAGTTGGGTTTAATACCGCTTTTAACAGTATTAAAGTTATATCGCGGCGTGTCAGCTTAATGTGGGAGGAAAGCCCGAAGTGATGCAGGTCTCAGACGTTTACCACTTCGGTGAAACCCACGAGCACGGGATTGGTGCTGACAAACCTAGAAACATAATCTGGGCGAACCGGGATTCGAACCCACAATCATAGGTTTCTGGCGTGCCCAAGGGACGCAATTCTGCACAGCGAATCGCGGCGCCTTAGACGACTGGGCATTGTGGTCAGATGGTTCGCAGCACACGTGTTATCTTCGTTATCTCCATCTCTCTGCACGTTGTGTGTATCTGACAGGATATATTGTCAGTCAATGGTAAGGTTCAGTTTTGATTGTCTTAAACGGACTGTTGACGTGAAACGCGAAGCAAAACTTCTCAATACACAAGGTTACACCGGTTTTAATTTTATGTGGCATCTCTTATATGTTTGATACACATCTTCTGAGGTGACGGGGCGCTCGGGTAGCCTAGTGGTTAAAGCGTTCGCTCGTCACGCCGAAGACCCGGGTTCGATTCCCGTCATGGGTACAATGTGTGAAGCCCATTTCTGGTGTCCCCCTTCGTGATATTGCTGGAATATTGCTAAAAGCGAAGTAAAACCATACTCACTCACTCTGAGGTGACATTCGTAGTAATCACATTCCTTGACAAACACACACAGACCGAGACACAACAAAATACATGAACGTCATAATTTATTTTGTAACTCACAATACAGGAATGTTTTATAGTGTTGGTGAGAAACACGTCAAATAAATCTTAGTCATCAAAAGAATAACATTCTAGGAATGCAACGAATAGTTAAACAATAATTAACCATATATCACAGCAAATATAAACATTACCTAAACAATAATATTATAATCTTCAAATAATGTTCGACTGAGACATTATGAGTTTTAAAATTATTGGGCCTCGTCTGTCCTCTATGTGAAACGACATCCCCTAACATGTACAATACGAAAAAGAACTAATAGATGTGTAAAGTATGAGAAACAACATTATTACTCGTATTTGTAAAGTAACATCTACATGTAAAGATGATTACATATTCCAGAAAAAAATGAAACAAGACATGAACCTACTACGACTTTTACGAGCGTGACTTTGGGTAATGCTACTTTTAGCTTTAAAAAAATCATGCATCTTATTTGAATATTTATCACAGTTTCCGTAATTAGAATAAGCTGTTGTATTTTGTGCCTAGTGAGATACAAAATCATGTTCTATAACATCCTGCACTCGAACAGCTGCATTCTACAATAAACTTTGATTAAATACAGATACTCTAGTTTAACACTTAATGTAGGATTTATTCATTACATCAATGAATATCAAATATCTACATGCATATCGCAACTGACACATTAGTGTGCATCTTTACCGAGACAAAGTGAAGCGTTACCATAGTAATTCTACACTTCTGATTAAGCTAACTGAAACAAAAATATATCCAACTAGAATGTGTACTCCGATACATTGCATCAGGTGTTGATTCATGGCGTTCACGTGATTAGTTTATCATTACTGCGAAGTATTCATTTGTAATATGCCATGGATCTAGAGCAAATAAACATGAATGTAGCACAGAAACCTTATGTAACAAATTCAACATCTATATTTACGTAATTTCCTATTCCTAATTCCTATAAGAGTCAACAAACTAAACCTGCAGATATTTTAGTCAATATCTTGTTCGAATTCCTGAACACAAGCCCTATTACATACATTTAAATTAACACCCTAAAACCATTCTTATATCAACGTTATATGGAGGTACATCTGCGTGATTCTTAGTAATAAAAGCGACTAAACCCTTTTCCTCCCTTGCAGAGTCCATTGTACGATTCACACTATATCATGATTGTGTTTGTGAATAACTAAAAAGTATGAACTAGTGATGAGACCTGTGAAGATCCGGGGTAGAATGCCCCTTGTCTTCAGCAACCCATGCTTGCCGTAAAAGGCGACTATGCTTATCGTCAGAGGCGAGTAACGGATCGGGTGGTCATGCTCGCTGACTTGGTTGATGCATGTTATCGTATCCCAATTGTGTGGATCAATGCTCATGATGTCAATCACTGGTTTGTCTGGTCTGGACTCGATTATTTACAGACCGCCGTCACATAGCTGGAGTTTTGCTGAGTGCAGCGTTAAACAACAAACAAACACACAAAACTAGTGATGATACCAAATGAGTGAGTGAGAGAGTTAGGTGTATCGCCGCTTTTAACAGTATTCCCAGTGATGCAGGTCTTAGACGTTTACCACTTCGGTGAAATCCACGAACACGGGTATCGTGCTGGCAAACCTAGAAACATAATCGGGGCGAACAGAGATTCGAACCCACAATCATAGGGACACAACTCTGCACAGCGAATCGCGGCGCCTTAGACGACTGGGCCACCTGTGCCCCCTGATACCAAATGAACACACGTCACAAGTGTACACAGGCACGTCAAGGGTCCACTTGAACAAACAAGGCCAATTGCAACATTCATTTCAACCTATAAAAAAATATGTCTTTACAACAATTGACCACGTCAATACAGTAATAAACACGATGGCGTTTTAAAAATTCCTTTTGAAAGAGAAGGACACGTAACCACAAACATCAACCCAAGATCTCCAACATTAGACCAAGACACTGTCCCCGAACCTGTCCCAGAGAGCCTTCACTACATCCACTACCATCATTTCACTAGTGTTGTACTCCAGCATCCTCAGCACAAATACACCATCCGTGGCAAGATAATCTCTTATAAATTTACCCTTTGCGTTTTTAGTTACCTTCTTATCGATATGGTGAAAATATTTTCTAACAAAACCAATCCTTCTCGAAGGAACCATTAACCTTTTAATCCATATAAAGTAACTGTAGAGTCCAATGAAGGTGATAATAACTAACCAAAACCAAAGAAAAGCGAATATTTTCTCATTGTATAGGTTAATTGCTAAAACGCACTGTATCGTGTATCGCTGAACATTTTGCAGACGTCGTATTTGAAAATCACACAACGTGACTCTGGGGAAAAGAGGGGATTCGCGCATTTCCTTGTTTTTAACGAGATTATCTATCAGTTCTACTCCGTAGAACGTGTACTCCATTGCCAGAAATTTGTTCAGCAACAATAATATGCCAATGGATACAAACAAGTAGCTAAATTTGATACATAAATACAGTCCTGCTAAATATGTGCCATTTCGTCGTCCGAGACAGAAACAAAAACAGGTGGATATCTTTTCAATGACGGTATGCACCAGTCCATAGTGAGCTCGTTTTGAGGTCATCAACCAACGGTCAAGAAACTTTCCAACAATCTGGACACATTCCTCCCTCTGAGCTCCAATCTGATTGGTATTGCAATAGTGAACTGTCTTCTCCAGATTGATTCCGCCTCTAGTATTCAGCATCCTCCAAAACATATTTGGAGCTTTGAAACAAAGTGCAAGGAAAAGCAATATGATAGAAACCCATTGGTAGTATTTTATCTCCAAATCTTCTCTTTCAGGAACATTTTCCGGTAGGTAGTCATCTTTTGGGACGAAATACGTATTTTTGATCCAGCAGAATGCTTCGGTGTAGTTGCAGTGGGAATCTGTGAACTCTGCAGGACACCAGCAGCGGATGGGGTCCCCCACGAAGTTGACAAGAATCACAATAATGGACAACAATACCAATAGAATCACTGTCCATCTGTGGTATAGCCGGTCTGTGATGTCATCATCAG